GGTATTTAAAAGACGGGTAGATGAGGCGCTTAGGGACATGGTTTAGTGGGCCTGGGGTTGTTGGGTCGACGGTAGGACTCTGTGAGTTTCGAGGTACTTTCCAACCTTAATGATTCTATGATTCTATGATTCGTCGTCTGGCTTTGCCGGGCTGGGAGCCCAGCTCGCCCGTCAGGCCGGCTGCGTTGCAGCAACGCTGAATTCATCCGCGGAAGAGAAATGTGAGGTCGGTCTGCGCGCGCCGAGAGAGGGGCTTCTGCTGCGTTACAACGAACCTGTGGCGGTCCCTGTCTGTGTTAGCAGTGTGTTTGAATTTCAAAAACCTAAACGGATTTCACAACGTCTCGCGTTCCCCGTCCGAGGTTGCTGGCGCTTTGACACCCTGTGTTGTCAACGTATTCTTTTGCCTCTGTTACTAATGACGGCGTGAACTGTCAGAAGGATAAAATACTGGAAATCCCTTTTACACGTCCCTCGCTGCACCACTTGCCGCGTCGTACCGCTACGGAGGTGGCGGCACTGATTGCGTGCGGGGGTTCTCAGTGCCGAAGTGCTTGGGATCCAGGCAGCGGGAGCCGTTCGTGGGCTTTAGCGGTTATCCGCTTCGCAGTTTTTAGTGAAGATGGGTTAGAATTATTTCTCGGCGGTAGCGGCTTAGTAGGGGCGTAGTTCAGGGACGTCTGAGATCCTAAACCACCAAGCGTTTAAAGCCGGGCTCCCCCAGTCACGTTGAAGCCCCTGCCTGCCTTTGGGACGTGCCCGGCTCTCTCCCACGGAGGGCTGGGGAAGGCGCGGAGGTTGGAGCCGGGGAAAAGGAGGAAACACAAGCAGAGCTGCCCCCTGCGCCGCCGCTAGATTAATTCCTCTCCCCCACATCCTCCAGCAGAGAACGGGCACGAGGTAGGATGACACGTGTAGGAAGAAGATCAAAAGTAAAACGATGCTATAAAAATGGCTGCTCTGGTTTCTTTTCCTCATCCTTCTGTAATTGCCTTCCAGAAGCAATAAATCCCGGCTCCTGGGTCTCAAGCACCTTCATCCCCGACTCGCACACCTGGAACTGGTCAACGCCCGGCCAAACATCAAATGGAGGAATCAGTCAAACGCTGAATGCTGCGTTAATTCAATAGCGCGCGCAAATCGGAGTTTGATTGGTAATGAATCAGCTTGGCCGTCAGTGCTGTAACGAGCGGTGTGAGGGGGGTCGTAAACCCCACGGGCGGGTATGGGGGTGCAGCGATTCCCAGGAACTGACGGATTAAGGAAGGAAAACCCGTAACCGCCCCGTTTTCATACTGCTGGAGAGGCTGCAAGGTGATGACAAATGCTAACCTCCCTGTCCGGCCCGCGTGGTATGAACACGGAGGCAGGAGGATTGGGAGCAGGGTCAGACCGAAGCAAAGCAGGTCCTGCAGAGCCCGGCTCCGCTTTGCTTGTGCCAGCTCTTTGCCAGGACACTGGTGGGACGCTCCTCGGCGGGCACGCCGCCAGGATCGGGCCCCGGTTTTGTACGCCTCGCTCTGCCCTGGGCAGTTTCTTGGTATTTTAATATTTTGCAGGGCAATGTGGCTGTTTTGAGTTGAAATCTGTCCTAAACTGGCCTGAACTCTTACCGCCCCCCCCCCCCCAAATACCGGCATTTCACAGGAGAGTGGCAAACCAGGCAGATCCTCCTGCTTTCCTCCGTCCCTCGGGAGTTCGCGGCAGCACCGTCTCGGTTTGGTGCCCCTCGGCATCCCCCGGGACCAGAAGAGCTCTGGGCTCCCTGTGCGCTGCTGAACGTCCCACCCGTCAGCTCTGAAGCTGAATGTTCAGGGTCGGGTTGGACGGGGCTCTGAGCAACCTGCTGCGGTTGAAGATGTCCCTGCCCACGGCGGGTGACCTTTAAAGGTCCCTTCCGACCCCAACCGTCCCGTGGTTCTGCGATCCCTGCGTGCCTGCGTCCGCGCGTGTGCCGTGTACGCATGTCCGGGTGAGGTGCCTGCACAGACACGTGTGTCCTTCTGCACAATACCTCTTCTCGACGGTTGGGCTCGATGATCTTAGGGGTCTTTTCCAACCTTAATGATTCTGTGTTCTCGTTCCCGGTCTGTGTATCCTCCTACCTCCCTTCGCTCTTCCCAGTAAATAACTGTTTTCACATGGGTCTCCGGCTGTTGTTGGAGGATAATATTTGTGTCGACTCAGCACGTTTGCAAACAGCCGCTGCCTGATCCTGCCTGGGCAGAGTCGTGCCCAGCGGAGCAGGGAGGGTGGATGCCGACGGGGAGCCGTCGTGTCCGGCTGACCGTGCCCGCGCCGGTGCTGGGCAAGTTCAAGCCTGCCACCTTCTTAGGCAGTTGGACTAGATGATCGTTGTAGGTCCCTTCCAACTGAAATATCCTATCCTACCCTACCCTGTCCTATTCTCGTACCTCTAGGACATAGATTATAGCTGCAGGCCCGGGAAATTCAGTGTCTGCAGTGAATCATCAGCTTTTCAAATGCAAAAAAGGAAGCTTGGGTAGTAGCTGTAAATTCTCGAACAGCATTATCTATTTAAGGAGATCACCCGCGAACCTAGTTTACCTCGGCTTTATGATTTTGATTTTTATTTTATTTTTGCGGAGAGGCGTTGCGTTCTTCTTGTGATTTATTTCTGAAAAGCTGAACCACAATAATATCCATTTTATTCAGCAAATTGCGAGTTGCTGTTCCGGTCCCGTCTGTATCGCCCCGGCTCTAGCGACGAGCGAGTGAAGATTCACTCTGAAGTGAATCTCGGCCGGGGGTGGGAAAGGTTCCTGGCTCTCTTTGAGAAACTCCGATCATCTTCCTCTTCCTCAGAATAACCCTCGGCGTTTTGTGGTGGATCTGGCCACTCCAGTGCCGGCGGTCCTCGGGAACCACAAACCCGTGTGTGCAGCCAGCCGGGTGCCTGCCTGGTTCTGGAGGAGCCTTCAAAATGCGGTGAAGCTTTGGGCACATCAGTCAGATACCGTGTTAAGTATTTCTTTCTCTTGCAGGGTTTCATCAGGCTGGACATGTCAGAGTTCCAGGAGAGGCACGAGGTTAGTAAATGGGCTATCGCTGCTTCCAAGGGGCGCGGCTTCGCGGTTAATGGGTAATTTAAACAATTCCTGTCAATGCCTCGTTCCCCTGCGTTTAATCCCTGTCCTGGGCGGTGCTGAGCATCTCCCCGCTGCCGCTGAACGCGACAAGCTTCTCCTGTCTCACCCCGGCAGCGGCATCCAGGACCTTCCCGAATTACTTCTGTGTTCTCCGGAAAACGGGCACTTTGGTCTGTCAAAGACACAGAGCAAGAGCAGCTGCTCCGGGCTGTGCAGTAAATCACAATATGGGAAATGCCAGCCAGAAAAGCAAGTTTAACTCAAAAAAATTAGGAACAGAGACCGAGGAGCAAGAAAAGCTCCAAGAATTTGTATATGATGCTGTGGCTTCTGTACATGGTGTCGACCCTCGGGGGGGAGAGCGACTGAGAAGAGACCATATTGCGCGTGAAAATCTGCAGCCTGGGCACGAGCCACGTGCTGTACGTCACCCACCGTGTCTGCACCCGCGCCCAGGCAGGCGCGGCTCAGCCCAAAGCCCTGTTCCCTTCCTTACCTATCATAGAATCATAGAATAGTTTGGGTGGGAAGGGACCTCTAAAGGTCACCTAGTCCAACCCCCCTGCCC